CAATATGACAGCAAAGATGATTATTGAGCCCTTAGTACTGCTACTTTTCACTTTACAACCTGCAAATCTGCATAATCTTTAAAGCTTTCATTATCCACCAGGGACTCTACTCAAGCAGCCTCCAATGTCTCTCTACAGTATGAAAGCAGGCCCATTTGGTCACACCGGCCCTCCAAACAGCATCCCACCCAGATCCACTCCCCTACAGTATCTCTGTCATCCTGCATTTCCCGTGGCTAATCCACCTAGCCTGCACATCCCTGGACACCATGGGCAATTTAGCATGGCTAACCTGCACAGCTTTGAACTGTAGGAGGAAACTGGAGCACCTGGAGGAAAGCCACGCAGTCACGGGGAGAACGTGTAAACTCCACACAGACAAGCGCCTGTGGCTGGAATCGAATCGGGTCCCTGGCGCTCTAAGGCAACAGTGCTAACCACTGAGCCACCGTGTCATGGTAGTCCATGAATCCATTGCGTAAAACCCCAAAATGTTTACTAACATCCTTTAGGGAAGGATATCTGTTGCCCTTACCTGGTCTGGCCTACCTGAGATTCCAAAGCCACAGCAATGTAGTTGACTCTTAACTGCCCTCTCAGTAATTAGGGATAGGCAATAAATGCTGCCATAGCCAGAGGTGATTATATCCCGTGAGTTAATTAAAAAAGAAAACTCCAGCACAATCTGCAATCTCATAGCCTGGTATATCCCCCACTTGACCATTACCATTAAGTCAGGGGATGAACTCTGGTTCAATGGAGAGTGCAGGAGGGCATGCCAGGAGCAGCACCAGACATACCCAAAAACAACAAAACTACATGCCTGTAAAATAACATAAGCAGCAAGTGATAGACAGGACTAGAAGATTCCATAACCAATAGATCACATCTAGCTCTGCAATCACAGAGTTATAGATTCATACAGCACAGAAACAGACCCTTCAGTCCAAATCATCCACACCAACCAGATATCCTAAACTGATCTAGTCCTATTTGCCAGTATTCGGCCTATATCCCTCTCAATCTTTCCTATTCATGTACCCATCCAGATGCCTTTTAAATGTTGTAATTATTCTAGCCTCCACCATTTCCTCTGGCAGCTCATTCCATGCACACACCACTGCGTGAAAATGTTGCCCCTTAGATCCTTTTTAAATCTGTCCCCCTCACCTTAAACCTATGCCCTCTAATTTTGGACTTCCCAGCCCTGGGGAAAAGACCTTGGCTATTTGCTCTATCTATGTCCCTCATTATTTTATTAACCTCTTAAGGTCACCCCTCAGCGTCCAACACTCCAGGGAAAATAGCCCCAGCCTATTCAGTCTCTTCCTATAACTCAAACCCTCCAGTACCAGCAACATCCTTGCTAATCTTTTTGGAACCCGTTAAAATTTAACAACATCTTTCCTATAAAAGGGAGATCAGAAGTGAACGCAGTATTCCAAAAGTGGCCTCATCAATGTCCTGTACAGTTGCAACATGACATCCCAACTCCTAGACTTAATGCACAGACCAATAAAGGCAGTACTGCACATCCGGTCATGAATGGTGGTGGGCAAATAAACAAATCATTGGAGGAAAACACTTCACAAACACTTTCATTCTCAATGATAGTGGAGCCTAGCACTTCAGTGCAAAACACAAGGCTGAAGCATTCACAGCAATGTTCAGCCAGAAGTGCCAAGTAGATGATCCATCTCAGCTTCCTCCAGAGGTCCCAGCATCACAGGTAACAGGCTTCAGCCAATTTGATTCATTTCACTTGATATCAAGAAATGGCTGGATCCACTGGTTTCTCCAAACGTTCTGGGACCTGACACCAGCAATAGTATTGAACATACGTTGCTGCGAATCCAGTCAAGCTGTCCCAGTAGAGTTATAACACTGGCATCTAGCCAACAATATGGAAAATTTCCCAGGTATGCTCTGTACATAAAAAGCAGAATAAATCCAACTTGGCAAATTACCGCTCTATCTGTCTATTCTCAATCATCAGTAAACTGATGGAAGGTGTCATCAACAAGGTTATTAAACAGCACTTCCTCAGCAATAACTCAGTTTGGGTTTCGCCTAGGACACGCAGCTCCTGACCTCATTATAGCCTTGGTTCAAACATGGACAAAAGAGTGGAATTCCAGGGGTGAGGTGAGAGTGACAGCCCTTGATATCAAGGCTGCAATTGACCAAGTGTAGCATCAAGGAGCCCTAGCAAAACTGGAATCAATGGGTATTGGGGGCAAACTCTTTACTGAGTGGAGTCATGCCCAGCACAAAGTAAGTTGCAGTTACTGGAGGTCAGTGATCTCATCTCAAGGACATCTTTACAGGAGTTCTTCAGGGGAGTGTCCTAGGCCCAACCATCTTCAGCTGCTACATCAATGACATTTCTCCAACATTGTTTGCTCAAGTTTGCACAATGTTCAGCACCATTTGTGACTCCTCACATACTGAAGTAATCCATGTCCAAATGCAGCAAGACCTGGACAATATCTGATAAGTATATCGTCCAGGCAAGTGACATTCATGCCCCACAAATACCAGGCAATGGCTATTGTAGAATCATAGAACTCAGTCAATGAAGCTGTCAGGATGGAAAGCCTGTAAAACAGTGAAACATTTCCTTGGGATTCTGCTCTTTACTATTTTACAGGTGAATTTTAGCATTTAGTAAGTAATTTCATCCACCTTGGACTTTTCTTACTTTGATGTTGCCTGCTTTCGCTGTAACTTGGGACCAGTTAATGCAGCTATACCATGGCCCTCTGACGAGGAACGAGAGCAACAACCACACCAATACCAGGAGCACCAGAAACAACAGTAAAGGCCTTCCCATTTAGGGCCAAGGGGATGATTCAAGGAGACAATACACATGGCAATGAATGCACAGGAAGAGGAACCTCAACAGGATAAAGCAGCAGTGCCTCAAACTTTCACGGCAGATCATTCCTGACAAGACATCCTTCTAAGAGGGTCATGTGACTGTGTCATGACAGTACTCATCAAGGTTACCGCAACTGAATTTCTTCATTTCCTGCTCCATCCAGGGATCTGCAAGTGACATATTTACTATCCACAAGTGTTTCTCCCAAGCGGCAGAGGTTGTATTTGGTAAGTGCCTAATTCATGTCTGCTTTGACACTTATGTCATATTGATTTTGATTCATGATTCCTAAAGGGGGTTATAGGTTGCATAGAACTGCCTGAGAAGGGGCGATGAGCACTTTCTTGAAGTATTGTGCACCATATTAGTGTAGGTATTTCCACAATACTGTCAGTTAGGGAGTACCAGGAAATTGGCCCAGTTATGATGAAGGAACGATATTTGTAGGTCAGGACGTTGTCTCATTTGGAGGGGAGTTTGGAGGTAGTGGCACTTTCATGACTCAATGGCCCTTGTTCTTCTCGCTAGAAGTCATGGGTTTCAAAGTTACTTTGGAAGAAGCTTCGGCCAGTTTCTGTAATACATCCTGTAAATCTGTGCCACAGTGTGCTGGTGGTGGAGGGAAAGATTGTGATTGAAGATTGTGGATGGGATGCAGATCACACAGGCTGCTTTGACATCAGTGGTGACCAGCTTGTTGAAAGTTGTTGAATCTGTAATTGTTCAGGGAAGTAGAGTATTCCATAATATTGCTGACTGCTCCAAGGCACTCCTGTTCAATCCGCACTTCTAATTTTGTCATCAACAGCAAATCTGGATATATGGCTTTCTATTCTTTTGCAAATTTATTACTACATGTACATCCAAACCATGGTCAGAAAAAATATATATTAAATTTAAAATGCATTAATTTATACCGAATCTTTAATAAGAAACAACCTGCCCCTTGACATTCAATTGCATTACCATCACTGAATACTCCGGTATCAACATCCTGGAGGTTACCGTTGACTGGAAACTGGACTGGACCAGCCGTACAAACACAGTGGCTAAAAGTGCAGGACAGAGGCTAGGAATATTGCATTGAATACCTCCCTCCTGACTCCCAAAGTCGGTCCACTATCTGCAAGGCACAAGTGTATTGGATAGTTCACTGCAGTTTTCAATTTGAGGATGTTTAAAACGTGTATGCCATTGCTCCATAGACTTCTTCAAAATTCTCTTTTGGAAAACCAGTTTTATTTACAAAATATAAAGAATCAAATAAAGAAATGAATTGTTTTGTCCCTCCTGGTTTCTTTGGGATTGATTTCAAGTTAGAACAGTTTTTGATAAGCCAACCATTCAAGCTAGGGCCTAACATAATGCTGATAGTCCTCAGCTAAATGTTGATTAATGGTTAAGATTTTGGTTCCTGTTTTACCTGTAGTGAGCGAAATAGCCAGATCCCCAAGCCGATTGCAGCAAACTATGAAATTAAATGAGTAAATTAAGTTTTTTTTTAAATCAGATCTTCATAATTTTACGTTGTTTTTCAGCTGTAAATTCCGTCAGTTCAGTCTATGTAGTTGCTGTGAATTTTTTAAAAAGTGTTTTATTCCACTAAAAACCAAAAGAATGGTAGATTTTTAAAATTATAAGAATTTTGTTTTGTAAAGTTTGCTCATGATTTTCTGTATTCATCCCATGTTTATTCCCGATGTTCACCTCCCACCTGCTCCATCTAATTCTATTAATATATCCTTCTATTCCTCTCTCCCTTATGTACTTAACCACCTTCCCAGTAAATACATCTATGCCATTTGTTTTGACTGCTCCACATAGTGGCAAGTTCCACACTGTAAATACTTAATGTAAATGAATTGGGATAGAATAAAAATAAGCTACATTATTCAGAAAAAAATCAGAGCAAGTTGTAGGTGAGAGAGAAAATAGGCTTGTATCATAGAGTATACAATACGGAATGTCTTAGAAGCGTATATTACATCAGAGGCATGAGATGTCAGGGTGACCAAATACGTACCAAACAGTTACCCATGAGGCTCTTCATGTTTTACTTGGTGGCTGAGGACCTCACTCTTTCTTTTATATTTCACAGCACTATCTGAAGGAAGCTTACCGCACAATGAAATCGGAATGAGCTTCCTGCATTATCTGCTTCTCCGAGCGTATGTGTTCCTGCTGCCGCGTGTCTACTATGTGACGTTTCTTCAGAATCTTCATTGCAAAAGTTTTGGATTCCTCACTCTTTAATTGGACCTTTCAAGAATAAAGAACAAGTTTTATTTGCACTTTCAAATTGCCTCAGCATCCTTTCTGGTCTACAAATCTGGAATTTCATTTGTCAATGTTTATCACGATCAATATGTTTTTAACGTTTACTTCCTTTTCTTCTTAAACAAAAATTCCACTTAAACTGTAGAAATAATCTCTAGTCAATTAAAACAGAGCTAAGCTAACTAACATATAACATTTGCATACATCAGAGACAGGATCTGCAGTTGTTCAGCATTTCTAGATTGCATTCTGCTTGGTGCTAATTCTGCATGATATAGGCCCAATGGTTTTGCTTCTGATGACTGTGAAACTGTTAGTCTTTACTACTAATGCCCTGTGCAAGTGTCAGCAACCCCTGGCATTTCTTTATCTGCACTTGAATGCAGAAACTGAGAAACTGCTATCAGAGATCAGGTTATGCAGGGAAATGCAGGGTTATAGGGTAGGGAGTGGATCTCCGCTCTTTCGTAGGTCAGTAAAGACTCAGTGGGCCAAATGGCCTCTTTCCTCATTGTATGGATTGTATTTTTAGATAAACAGGGAAGGATTCAGACCATCTTTCCACAGACAAGTGTAAACCCTTCAGAGATAGTAGGAACTGCAGATGCTGGAGAATCTGAGATAACAAGGTGTAGAGCTGAATGAACACAGCAGGCCAAGCAGCATCAGAGGAGCAGGAAGGCTGACGTTTCGGGCCTAGACCCTTCTTCAGAAAACCCTTCATATCTGTTCTCCAATTAGGCACCTTCTCATTAATATGAATGAGAAATTGTTAAAGAATTATGAAAGTTCTTACCTGTTCAGGTTATTCATTGTTATGGTGTAATTGGGATGAATATTGGTAATGGACAAAAAGTTGTCTGAAGAGTAAATGGGGAGTTGCTTGTCAGAAAGGTGCTATCAAATGAAGATCCTCAGATGTCAGCATTAGGAATATGTCATTTGATTGACTTTACAGTTTTGTAAGTAGAAAGGTAGAAGGTGGCCCAGAAATTACAGAGGGAAGTTGAACAATGTTTGTCAATGTGGACAGCAATGAGAAATTTAACTCAGACAAATGTAAATTATGGCACATAAGAAGGAAAATAATGGTTGACCCACTGACTGCAGGCATGAGATGAATATAGATAGACATTAAATAGCAAAAGGTGAAATTGCAAAATCGTTTCGTGCCTAATCAACCAATTCAACTGAACAATCAAAAATGATAGGAGAATATTGGAATAATACAACCACAACGGTGCAAGTCATAGGAAGTCAAGGACAATCTGCACAGTCTTTTGGCCAGACCCAATCTCGAGTACTGCACCTGGTTCTGATTTTGCCACAATAAGGGACTGATTGAAGCACTAGGGACAGTGCAGCAACAAGAAACTGGTTTCAGGTGTCATGGCGCAACAACAAATGGAAACTTCAGCCTTTGAAACTGGATGGAGGCATCTGAGAAAGTTTTCTTATGAAGGTATACATGATAACACAGCACAGTGACTCAGTGGTTGGCATTGCTGCCAGGAACCCAGGTTTGATTCCACCTTTGGGTCACTGGCTGTGTGGAGTTTGCATGTCCTGTGTCTGCATGGGTTTCCTCTGGGTGGCTCTGGTCTCCTCCCACAGTGCAAAGGTGGACTGGCTATGTTATATTGCCCATAGTGCTCAGGTATGTGCGGACAAGGTGTATTAGCCAAGGGAAATGCAGGGTAACAGGGATAGTGTAGGGGGTCTCTCTGAGCCATTGGATTTTGGTAACATTATTACTGGAGGCTTTGGCGGCACATAATTCAACACTCTTCTGAGGGTCAGTGTGGACTTGATGGGCTGAATGGCCTGATTCCACACTGCAGGAACTCTATGATTCTATGATAGCCAGGAACAGATGTAAAGAACAAAGTCAATCTGAAAAATGGCTTTGAACCAAATTTTGACAGAGGGGACGCAAGTACAAATTAGTAAGTAGCAATATTTACACAATATTATACAATGATATTACACAAACAAGACCAATTTCTCATTGAACCTGGATAAAGTAGCGTAGAAAAATATTCTGGAATGAATTAAGAATGAATTGCTGAGGTTTTTTTCTGGATGAAATGAACCAAGATCAAAGGTGCAAACTTCCTCAATCAGCTTGCTCCCCAAAGAAACAGAAATGGCATGGTCAATAAAGAAATAATTTAATCCTGCTATACCATTTGGATGCAGGCTGAAAGTTGGCAGCAACAGGATTTCTGAGTAACTTTCACCAAAGTTACTGCAATGGTGAAAATTTCTGCAAGACGTTATTGAGTATCGCTGAATGTAGCTCTTGAGCTGACTTTTGACTCAAAGGTCATCAGTTGGTGACTTTTCTCCAAACTACAAAGTACTCCGTAACTAGTGTACCTAAGGAGGTCACATTTTCCAAGGGGATCCTCACTGTCCTAACTTGATCAGCTGCAATGTGTGATGCAGCAAGAACTGCCAAAGCTCTAGAAAACTCTGGGCCAGATGAAGGCTTCAATGAAAACAAATATATGATGGAGAGGGGGGGAATGGGTAGAGTGTGGCCAATGTAGCCCAATCTAGAGATGGGGTTCGGGCTGGAGCCCCACTTCCTGAATAAAATTAAAAATAAAAACAATATTTTAAAATGGTCTGTTTCTAATGGGATCAGCAAAATGGATGTTTCTGGCAAAAACAAACCCAGCACTTTCTACTGGCAGGCTATTCTCTGGATAGGCTTCCTCATTTCTTCTGAAAGAAAGAACTGCGGATGCTGGACGTGAGAAACAAAATCAGAAATTGTGAGAAAAACTCAGCAGGTTTGGCAGCATCTGAGGAGAAAAAACACAATTAGAGTTTCGTGTCCAGTGACTATTCTTCGGAACTGGTTTCTGGTTTCTTCGTTGGGTGTCACTGGTGACGAGTCCTGACTGGCACAGTAACCCAGCAATGATAAACAAACTGAGACACGTTCTCTCTGAGCCATTGGATTTTGGTAACATTATTACTGGAGGCTTTGGCGGCACATAATTCAACATTTTTGCTTCTACCATTTTTCCAAACTGTAGCCTTTCAGGCATTACATACTGAATTGAGGTCATTAACATGCTATCAGAGATAGTAGGAACTGCAGATGCTGGAAAATCTGAGATAACAAGGAATACAGCTGGATGAACACAGCAGGCCAAGCAGCAGGCTTCCTGCTCCTATGACGCTGCTTGGCCTGCTGTGTTCATCCAGCTCTACACCTTGTTATCTTATTAACATGCTATTCTGGTTTAAGGAATCTTCTAGCCCGATTTGATGAGGAAATTTGGTTGTTAAGTTTGCCGTGATTACTTTTTTTAAAGTAATTAACTGGCTTGAAACACATTTTAACACCTTGGGGATGTGTAGGGTGCTATATAAACACATCATTTTTGCTTCTTTGTTCCTTTTCTTTGTGTTAACCAGTTGCTAAACTCTGGAACACCCTCCCTAAACCTCTCCCATTGTCCACCTTTAAGGACAGTCCTTCTACCGATATCTTTCATAAGGCTTTTAGTCATCTGTTTTGATGTCTCCTTCTTTGAGCTGGCATTAATTTTTGTCTGATTACACACCTCTGAAACATATTGGGACTCTATGAAGTTAGAAGTGCCATATAAATGCAAGTTGTGGTTATAGCTATACTTAATAATCCAAGTCAAATAAAGACTGTCACCAACTGAAAGCAGAATACTGAGGATTAACAAGATTCATTACACCTCACATTGTGTGTCATCACACTTTCAGTCAGATGATGGACAATGGAGGTTTATTTTCAGTAAAAAGCATGGCTCAGTGGAACATCTAGTGGATGCTACAGGATAAATACAGAGCTAAAGACAGAGTGGAGCTGGAGGAACACAGCAGGCCAGGCAGCAACAGAGGAACAGGAAAGCTGACATTTCGGATCAGGACCCTTCTACAGAAATTGGGGGTATTGTGGGGGGGGAGGGGGGTGGGCGAGGGAAGGGAGCTCAGAAGTAAATAGAGAGAGGAGGGGTGGGGCTGGAGAAGGTAGATAGGATGGTGATAGGTGAGTGCAGTTAGGCAGTGGTGGCGATTGATCAGTGAGGTGGGACGACCGGATAGGTGGGAGAGGTAGGTGTCAGGTCAAGGAGGCGGGGATGAGAGGAAGGGTTGGTCATGGGATGAGGCCAGGAGTGGGAAGATTTTGAAACTGGCAAAATCCACATTTATCCAACGTATCAATTTCCGCCACTTCCGCCACATACAATCTGACCCCACAACCAAAGATATATTTCCCTCTCCACCCCTATCTGCCCTTCAGAGGGGCCATGCTCTCCGCGACTCCCTTGTCCGCTCCACACTCTCCATTAGCCACACTACCCCGGCACCTTTCCCTGCAACCGCAGGAAATGCTACACCTGCCCCTACACCTCCTCCCTCACCTCCATTCAAGGCAAACAAACCTTCCACATTAGACAGAGGTTCACCTGCACATCCGCTAATGTGGTCTATTGTATCCACTACTCCCAATATGGCCTCCTCTACATCAGTGAGACCAAGCGGAGGCTCAGAGACTGCTTTGTAGAGCACCTGCGCTCTGTTCGCGACAAATGACAACACCTTCCAGTCACGAACCATTTCAACTCTCCCTCCCACTCGCTGGACGACATGTCCATCCTGGGCCTCCTCCAGTGTCACAATGACCCCACCAAGAAACTGGAGGAGCAGCACCTCATATTCCACCTTGGGAGCCTACAGCCCAATGGCCTAAACGTGGATTTTACCAGTTTCAAAATCTCCCCACCCCCGGCCTCATCCCATGACCAACCCTCCCTCTCATCCCCTCCTCCTTGTCCTGACACAACCTGTCCATCTTCTCTCCCCACCTATCCGCTTCTCCCACCTCACTGGCCAATCCCCACCACTGCCTACCTGAACTCACCCATCACCATCCCACATACCTTCCTCAGCCCCACCCTCCTCTATTTATTTCTGAGCTCCCTTCCCTT